GGATATATATTTTCTTCATTCAGAGGTCTTGGCATTGATTTCTCAGTTCCAGCGTGGATGAAGCAGACACAGCTTTCCATGAGGCCCTGAACCGGAGGTCAGGTCATTTCAGAAGGCTTTTCAGATATTGCCATTTCCAACATCTGGTGGGACTGAAACAACACCTGCAGTCTTTTTGCCCTTTTGCACTCCCTCTCCACCCGTCTTCTGATGTGCTGCGGCAATTGCGTTGCATTAATAATCAATTTTTATTCCCTTTGAAATGTTCAGTCTTTGTTTTGCTCTTGCTCTGTTGGAGAACAAAGACTATAATTGCAATCTATCCATTTTATCAGATACAATCTGGCTTTGGACATCGCTCTGTCCTTTCGCATCACTTTCATCTTGTGACATTTCAGACTATCAGCAAATAACACGTTAATTTTTTAAAGGTTACACTGCAACAATTCAGGGTCTTTTTTCTAGACTTGAACCTCCTAGGTCTCTGGGTCTGTTTGATTGAAGTGCTATTACCTCTTTTCATTTCATATTGATTCAGTTATGTCCTTCATGTAGAATAATGATTCTACCCATGTGCTGGATTTATTGACCGCTGTAGTAATCTTGCTGTTATTGTTAGATTTTGACTTCCAATCCATAATGTTTAGCATAAACAAACTAGCCACGTTGGTAACATGTTGATTTTATTGCCGATGACTAGTGATACTAAGTGACTCGAGTTAATGGTCGTATTTTTAATTTCAAATGGAATTAGTTATTAGTTTCGTAGAGGTTGCAAGACATCCACAGCTGAGGCAATATATGCATCCAATGCTGTACAAGAGACAACCACTGGAGGCCACTGGAGTATTAAAAAAAAATTCAATAAAGGGTTTGAAAGGGCATATGCAGGACACGCGGTGCCCGTTCAGACGGTATATGCCACAGAAATACTCAGAAAAAAGAATAGCTTTTTATTTCTAAGTTTCTTCAGCATGCGATATAAAAAAAATGAAAAAAATCAATGAAAGCATTTCTGTATTACAAATGTGTCACACTAGTAAACTTATTCTTGATCAGCATGTTACATTCCAGTTAAGTCAAACAGGTAATAAAGCATGTTTATGGCAGTCAAAAACAATTGAATATCAGTACATCACAACGCAAGAATTCAGACAACAGTTTTAATGACTGCCTTTGACATCATGGTTAAAGACCCCACTCATCTATATGCTAGCGTACTTGTAAACACAGACAAAAAAAAAAAGATCTTTTAGCAGATATACACTAGAGTTGCACGATTAATCATTAAAATATTGTGATCTCGTTTCTAACACCCAGAGAGAGCAGTTATGTAAAAGTATGAAACAACTTCACAGTCTTTTCAACCACATAGTATCATTTTTTCTGTTACAAACATTCTAATTATCACAGAAGAACTGGGATAAAAGTTTATTTTTGGGATATAACACTGATGTCTAGCATTCAAAACAGAGTTCATCATGTTTTGAAAAAGTAACTTGGCACTTTAAATAAAGATTGTATTATTACATCAATGCACCAGTAGGTGGCGACACGTGACTGTTAAAAAAAAATTATTCATCCTTGAATCAGTCAAGAGATTGGTTCAAAAACACGGATTCATTTAATAATGGAACAAGTGAATATTTTGAACAAGTCATTGAATCAGTCATTCAAACTGGAAAAAAATTTCATTCAAATTGTTTTTTTTGTTTGAGCCCTTTGATATATATCCCAACGCAACTTCTGGTTCATATAATCTGACAACACAAAACTTAATTCATCAGATGATTTCACAGGGTCTTTAAAATATTTAATAATGGCATTCAAACATAGAAGTAGCATGCCAGTACAGTATGAGAATAAATTACACAGGACCAGGGACTATGTACAATACAAATTACAAAACCTTTACATAAAGGTGAAATATCAATATGATATAATAGTATATTTTCGACTGTAAACCTTATTACCATTTTAATAATGACTTACCGATACGTGCTAATTACTTTTGTTGTTTTTTTTGTTTGGTTTTTTTTTGCTTTTTTTCTACTTCAGAGACAGTTTCTTAAAGTAATTTCGTGCTGAACCTAGTCTCAGACCAAAAAAATGTATTCAGATGAGAACTGCATGAGTGTGTGTCCACAAACATTTTGGGTAAACCAGAGTGTTCTGTTGCAAGCGTACAGCTGGAAGTATTCACAGTGGTCTTTTAAAATCATTTATCTAAGATTAAAATACACTTTCCACAAAATTGCACAAGTAAACATGTATGCTGCTGTCTTTAAAATTACATTTGATTTTCATATAGTTAAAAGATATAATGTAAAAAAATGTGATGAGGTTAACAAGATGTAAATATTAAAATTAAAAATTGTAACTCAAATTCTGACTGGATGCATTTTCAAAAGTATTCTTTTAATATAAAATGTCTCATATAATTAAGTAAAATCTTAAACTTCACAGTCTTTTCAACCACATAGTATCATTTTTTCTGTTACAAACATTCTAATTATCACAGAAGAACTGGGATAAAAGTTTATTTTTGGGATATAACACTGATGTCTAGCATTCAAAACAGAGTTCATCATGTTTTGAAAAAGTAACTTGGCACTTTAAATAAAGATTGTATTATTACATCAATGCACCAGTAGGTGGCGACACGTGACTGTTAAAAAAAATTATTCATCCTTGAATCAGTCAAGAGATTGGTTCAAAAACACGGATTCATTTAATAATGGAACAAGTGAATATTTTGAACAAGTCATTGAATCAGTCATTCAAACTGGAAAAAAATTTCATTCAAATTGTTTTTTTTGTTTGAGCCCTTTGATATATATCCCAACGCAACTTCTGGTTCATATAATCTGACAACACAAAACTTAATTCATCAGATGATTTCACAGGGTCTTTAAAATATTTAATAATGGCATTCAAACATAGAAGTAGCATGCCAGTACAGTATGAGAATAAATTACACAGGACCAGGGACTATGTACAATACAAATTACAAAACCTTTACATAAAGGTGAAATATCAATATGATATAATAGTATATTTTCGACTGTAAACCTTATTACCATTTTAATAATGACTTACCGATACGTGCTAATTACTTTGTTGTTTTTTTGGTCGGTTTTTTTTTGCTTTTTTTCTACTTCAGAGACAGTTTCTTGAAGTAATTTCGTGCTGAACCTAGTCTCAGACCAAAAAAATGTATTCAGATGAGAACTGCATGAGTGTGTGTCCACAAACATTTTGGGTAAACCAGAGTGTTCTGTTGCAAGCGTACAGCTGGAAGTATTCACAGTGGTCTTTTAAAATCATTTATCTAAGATTAAAATACACTTTCCACAAAATTGCACAAGTAAACATGTATGCTGCTGTCTTTAAAATTACATTTGATTTTCATATAGTTAAAAGATATAATAATGTCAAAAATGTGATGAGGTTGACAAGATGTAAATATTAAAATGATAAATTGTAATTCAAATTCTGTTTGGATACATTTTCAAAAGTATTCTTTTCATATAAAATGTCTCATATAATTAAGTAAAATCTTACAAGAATTATTTTTTTCCCTTTTATTCCAGTCTGTAATAGTTCTGAATATCTGAGCGAAAACAGAATGAACTGCACACGGCTGTCTAAATCTGTTGAGATGAATCCAGTGTTGACGATGGCTTTGATGAGCTTTGTGTACTACGTGAAAAGAGCATTCCAAGTGTTGACATCGCAGGCCTCTTCTTGAGGTCACAGTTCAGATTCTGAGCCTTCAAGGCAGTTTCACGACCACCACACATGCCCCCGCCTTCCCGATGTTTAGAGGGACCTCCTAGAATAACAAGAGACAGAGGTTAATGACCATTGTCCAACCGCAGCAAACTCTCAGTCACACTCAGTCTAACAGCCCATTGCAGGTAATCTTACGAGAGAGAGAGCAAGACGGAGCCATGGGAAGCTGCGACAGGAGGCAAACTAGACTTGAATAGAGTGTTTGTAACTCAGGCTGGCTAAGGAAAGAGCGGTTAACCTCATGGTGTTCAATGCCATTGTGACACAGTGGAAAACAGATGAATGGCAGGAAATGCTTGCACTTCCCGTTCACAGACGTACATCATCCAAGCATTCAAGGAACATTCACAAAGTCGACTGTTTTGACATATTTAATGTTCTACAACATTTTTTCCTTCTTTGCAGACAACATGGTTGGTCAAAAAGGTGGATAGCTATAACATTTTTGTAGTATTTCAGGAAATACAGTATTTCAGTTTAACCGAAAGCACTTGTGGCATAATGGTGATTAGCTTGAATAGTAATTTTGAATTGTCAAAATATCTGGGTTGCAGTGAGGTTAAGTGAACTTGCAGTACAATGCAAGTGAATGAGCCCAAACAGTAAAAGCTAAAACACTCACCGTTTCAAAATTATAGCCACAAGATGTAAACACTATACATGTTAACATGATTTTAGTGTTTGTGTGTGTGTGGGGGGGGGGACGACTCACTAACCTTTCCTGAGTAAAGTTACATGGAATTCTCTTTTGTTGCTATGACAATGTAACATCAAAAACCTTGCACAAAAAAATTATCAGAGCAACTTTACTACTTCTATTAACACTTGTGTATTATTTGAGCTGTATTGTAAGTGTTTTTATAAAATTATAAGCTTCACACTTTAAAATCTTCCAAAACACTGCTCCCATTTATCTGTATTGTAACAGTAACCTAATTTCTTTATTTTTTATTGATTGATTGATTGATTACAAATATATCTTTAAAGCAGTTGTTTTAAACCAGGGCCCACTAGGGGCATCAAGATTACTTAAAGGGGTGGTTGATTGCGATTTCACTTTTTTAACGTTAGTTAGTGTGTAATGTTGAGGTCATGCTGAGCTGCTTTAGAGAAGAGGAAGAGAAAACTTTAGGTGCACGTAAAAATCTATTCATATATGAATCGCGATTCTGTCTTCTAACTATTCGAATGGATTCACAAGTTTCAAAATCAATGTTCAAAAGCAGCCGTTCTCAATACTGTTCCTCGCGTCCCCTGCTCTGCACACGCTCTGCATCTCTCTCTCTCTGCATCTCTCTCTCTCTCTCATTCAGCTCAGCTCCA